AACTACTCTCTCTCTCTCTCTCTCTCTCTCTCTCTCTCTCTCTCTTTGACTGACGTAAACGAAGCTTTTTAAAGTTTGAAATGAAAGCATATATTCTCATTCACAACTATTATCAGATTTACGACTCTAAAACAATAGGACCATAAATATAAGATTTTAAATAATATATATTCTCACAACTAGGAGGGATGGCTTACACAATAGGACTTAATAAAAAAATGGGTCACTCTAGATTATGCCTATTTCAAATTAAGAATCTAAAATAATTAAACTTCGTACTATGCGAAAAAGGGACTGGATTTTAACAACATGGAACTTCTGACTCCTAAATAATGGGAACGTCGGACAATGTCAATCTCTAACTTGGTATCATCCGTTGATGAAAGTAGAATCCACAAACATGGAACCCAAGATTATGTACCAAAACCTTGGACCATGGTTGATAGGAGCGGGGACCTATTTCGAAATCGAACCGGATACCACTGATGGATGGAATGTGGTCCCCTTTTTTTGGGAGCGAGATTTCAAAATCGAAAAAATGGGGTCCCTATAAGTTCCCTTGCAGGAACCGTGGGATCGAGTTTCTGGAGCGGGATCGTCAGCATACCCACAAGGTTCCCTTAACTATGAGGCGAACAAATATTTCCCTCCAAATTGATGCTCAAGAATAATGATCATCACTAGATAGGAAAGACAGCTGACCCCAATTAATTGGCAAAAGGCTAAAATGATTATGATGATGATGATGATTAGATAGGAAATAAACTAGAATAGAAATAAATTACAAAAAATACATTTAGGTTTACAAAAAGCTATAGAATGACAAAACAATATTAGCCCTTAACCAAAAGAAAAGAAAATAAGAGACTTTGTGAATGAGAACTAAAGTATGAACAAATACATATAAAAAAGAAACATAGCATATATATGTGATGTATACATTAAAAAGTGCACATGGTCTCACAACAGAAAGTTTGTATTTCAAGCTACCTGCAGCTTCTTGACCAGTCATTGCATCTACCACAAGCAAAACTTCAGTGGGATCCAATGTCTGTTTCACCTCCTTCAACTCATCCATCATGGCCTTGTCTATCTAATCATAAATAACGGAAGTAATCAACATAGATCATCTCAAAAAATTAAAGAGAAACTAGCCATAGAACTTAAAAATAAAATAATAATAAATAAATAAAAGTATACCATAGAACGTCAAAACAAACTAGAGGTCGCTTCAAACTTCACATGGTAGGAGATAAGATAAAAGAATCATTTTTTTGTTAAGAAATCAATTTGGGGAGAGAGTGGAGCCCCAAAAAGCACTATTGAGAGGAAGATCGTTGGCCCCTCTTCATTCTCTACAGGGGTCTCTGCCCACATGGAAGCGGGGCAGAGATGGAAGAGAAGGTAGCTTGGGCAGAGATGGAAGAGAAGGTAGCTTGCTTACCAAGCTCTCGACCGGCCTACTTATATCTTAAGCTCTACTCTATTATAGTATAGCCGCCTACTTATTATCTTCTTGTTGTTTTTTTTTTTTGAAAGTAATAAAGAAATATGCATCCGATGGCATATAAACAGATTAGTGATGTTGTGGAGGACAACATAAGTACATTTAGGACGAGGGAGGGGAGCAAGTCCCCTAATACTGGGCTAAGTTTTATGTAATATTGCAATAAACAAAATAAAGCCATTGAAATCAGTATAATCAAAATCAAAGAAAAAAAAATCTCACTTGCAGTCTTCCAGCTGTATCCACAATCACAACATCAATATTCTTCTGCTTGGCCTCCTTGAGACCTTGTCGAGCTATTTCTGATGGCTTTATTGCTGTTCCTGCTGTATAAACAGGCACATCCACCTGTCACAAGCTCATAAATGAATATGAGCTGAAAGGGATCTCCTCTTATGCCAGAATATTTCAAGCCTAGTGAATGAAGAAAAACAAAAGGACCAAACTGAAGTAGAGCTGCATGAATATTTGATGAGAAAGTATAATATAATCCAATAGAGCATGGAAAGACCATATTTCATTGAGGTCATCACCGTAGAAACAATAAACAATGATGGAGAGCGAGTTGGAATCCATTCTGGACCTGTCTTGTTTTGGTGGGCACCACTTTCAATCAAACATGGGAATTACAGTTTTTCCAATCAAACATGGGAATTACAGTGTAATCTGATTGAGAATGGAGGAAACATAGCATTTGGTCTTTACTGTCCAAATAAAGACCAAAGAAAAACTAAATGTCTCTTACGTTGCAGTTTTCTAGGATGTATGATTTGTTTGTCTTTACTAAATGGAAGAAGTGCAGAGGAACAAAAGATTTTTTAAGGAATTCAACTTTGCCTACAAAATAAATTTACTCAGTACAAGTTACAATATTGTCGTACAATTGAGTAATACCAACACCCAAGAGATCAAACAGCCTACTTCGTCTATGGTGAAGTCATTAATACAAATAGTGACCTCTATTGGCCATGAGGGCCAAGCTAGCATCATAAGAACCATGGCGTACAATGTTTATAATCAATGAAGGTATCTTCACTAAATATGGAGAAAATCAAATTAAATCAAGCATTTTCAAGTAAAACTACAGTTCTTATAAGCTGTGTGGTGTGGCATCAATTTCTAAAAGATGCGAGACATCAAGTCAGATTCAACTTGTCCAAGTGATCTCTCTCTCAAAATAAAATAAAATAAACCACCTCCACTGATAAGATGACAAATGTGAAGTCAAAGTTTTCCAAAAGATGCGAGGAATGAATCAAGTTCAACTTATCCATATGATCTCTCTCTCTCTCTCTCTCTCTCTCTCTCTCTCTCTCTCTCTCTCTCTACTCTACTACTACTACTACTACTACTACTACTACTACTACGTACTACTACTACTACTACTACTACTACGTACGTACGTACGTACTACTACGTACTACGTA